TGGATGGAAGGGGACCCCACAAGGGCAGAGATGTCAAAGCCACTGCCACAGGCCAGGTCTCTCTCTGCTGCCTGTGTCCCGGCTTCCTTACCCCCTTCAGTTCTCTCCCTCTTCCCTGGCCTGTGACCTCCACCCCTTCCCTTCCCTCTCCCTTTCCTCCTTGCTCCTCCCCTGTTCTGTCGCACACACCCAGACACCCTTCCCTTCTACCTTACCCCTGAGTTTTGGTTGTTGCCTCTCACTGACCCGTAGCCAGGCTGAGCCACAGCTCCCTACAGGGAGGGCGAAACCCAGTTTAGGATCCAGAGTACAAGGTGGGGTGGGGAGGGCAGGGTTGAGGGATGGATCTGGGTGGTGACTTTACCTGAGCATTGGTCTCATAGTTGAATGACCTGCCATCGCCACCCTGACCCACAGAGCCACCCAGAGAGTTGGTTCCAAAGTTGCCTTCTGAGGCCCAGGGGGTCCCTTGACCACCGGGATTGCCACGGCCTCCAGCACCACCTTGAGAGCCAAACATTCCATGGCCTCCAGACGTCCCCTGAAAGGACGATACACCCACCCTTAGTGTGCCCGTCTCTGACAATCATAAGAGAGAGAGGAGTCGGCACAATCGGGGGGGGGGGGGGAGAGGAGAGGAGATGCATGACAACCAAAGCAAAACCAAAGCAACAGTCCCAGACAGCCACCCAGGAACCATCTGTTCACCCTGGACCCATTTCTCAAGATCAGCACACCCAGCTTCGCAGCCACTCACCCAAGACCCGGAGTTGCGGGCAGCGTCCATCCCACGTCGAACGACATCCTCAGCCTGTCTGCCAACCTCGTCCCCAGCGTTTCCCAGAGATCGAGCTGCCTCCCCGAGCCTGTGGTCGAAAGCGTCCCCCCTGGCCCCCCTCAGTGCATAGCCACCTTCCTCTCCATGCCCCTGACCAAGGGCACTCTGGATCCCGGAGCTGGCTGCTTCCTTCGCCCCTTCGCCCACAGCCTCTCCGATGGCATCGCCCACCCCTTGTGCGGCACTTGAGCCGGTGCCCTCGCCTCCACTCTGCAGTGGGCTAGCTGCCCCGCTACCCAGACAGAGGGCCAGCAGGAGGCAGGCCAGGGACCCCCGGAGTTTCATCTCTCCCCTCAGGATCTTTGCAGCCCAATCTGTTTCTTGTTCCCTTCTCTCTTCCTCTGGACTATGGGACCTCCTGCCTTGCTCTCTCTGCTTCTGACTCCACCTCCCTCAGGACCCACAGCCTCCTCTCTCGGTTCCCAGCTCCCCTGCTTTCCAGAGGCTTCCTTCTTGCCACTGCCCCTTATACTGTAGGTTCCGAGAAGGTAGCAGGGCTGGGCAGTCCAGGATCCCTCCTCCAGTGACTCAGGGCCTATCCACCGATAAGGTAATGAAGCTTAATTGTGAGCGAGAGCCTGTGTTGAAACAGAGAGAGCCGGACATCAGGGAGGGGGGAGGCTAGGTGAGACGGATGCAAAAAGTGTTCCAGTTGCCTAACCTCAGGAATTTGGGGCACAGGGTGGGGACAGGAGCATCCGAGGAGATGGGTGTTGATGTCTTCTGGAGGTGGCAGGGCGGGGTACTTAGGAAACAGGACTCACAAGCAGGCGAGACCCCAAGGGTGTAAGGAGAGGGAACCATGATAATAGAGGACCCATCCTGGGGAAGCCAGCGTGCTCAGGGGCATGAAAACAGGAGAGAGGTGGCCTTTCTTGGTCTCTGCTGAAGTTCAGTGGGCATTCCTTGCTCTCATCTCTCCCCCGGCACGCCTCCACCTGCAGGTGAATGTCCTTGCACACTTCCAGGGTTCGGGAGACACTGGGAACTCCGGGACTGCAGTTAAGTTCTGAGGTTGTGGGGACCCTGGTGTTGAAGGAGTGGGACACCTCTGTGAGTGGCCCAGTAAGGAAGGGTTTGGGCAGCTGTCATTGAGAGCTTCGGGGCCCTGGGAGTGGAGCAGGGGAGCTGGGCGGGTCAGCCACCCCAGGGGAAGAGTAGGCGGGAAAGACCGAGGGAGGGAGAAGCTGACCCAGACACCCATCCTGTTTACCTGGATGGAGGGCCATGCGTGTCTGTAAGAGCTCTCAGCCACTCTGCTCCCTACTCACCACCCGTAACCTTCCCCAGGGGCCAGGGAAGCCTGGAGAGGGAGGAGGGTCGGCACAGGATCACCCCCGGCCCTCACCCTCGGTCACGGTTCCAGTGGGGAACCCGAGCATCCTCCCCACATCTCATCCCTGTTTGACAAGTGTGACTGCTTCTCTGTTCCCAGGGGCCCCGGGCCCTCCCACTTGGAACTGTCTTGTATCACTGGGCTTCATCACCTAGTTAGGAGGGGCTGGTTTCCATCTGCCTTTCTCAATGTCTCTCAGTCAGTCTCTCCCCACCCCAACATCCGCACCCCAACTTGTAACATTCAACACTTCTCTGTGTATAAACACCATTCCTGACTGTCCCCCGCTCCTACCTCCCTGCTGTTCCATTGCTGACATTTAGTTATAATAGTACTAATACTAATAATAATAATCACAGCTCCAGTTTGTCAAAAGCTTTCTATGTGCCCAGATTTCTATGTCAGCTTCTGTATGGTAAGAATCATCCAGCCCTGAAAGATGGCTCTTTTTATTACCCCATTTAGAGACGTAGACACTGCTGCTCAGAGGACACAGAGGGCCTGTAGCCGAACCCAGAACCAAGCCCAGACCTGCCTTTGGCGGAGCCTGAGCTCCTAAGCCTTGCCTGTCACTCCAGTGTGTCACACCGACCCTTGCTGGTCTAGATGGAATTGATTTTGATTTTGCTCTGGAGTTATGTGGGAATTGGGATGCAAGGGGAAATCTGGATCCCCAGGATGAGTGCCACAGCCTCTAGTCCCTGAGCCCACTGATGCTACTCACAGGTTGGGCAGAGGAGGAAGTCAGGACAGAGAGCTCACTGAGTCAAAAGTTCTTTTATGGTCCCCCTGGCCAGGTTTCCCGTGCCTGCTCCTGCACACCTGCCCTGTCCCATCTCCATCAATGCTCACTTTCTATAGACCAGCTTACTTTCTTACTAAAGACTACTGTAGGAGCCTGGCATGGCGGCACACACCCCAACACTTGGAAAGTTGAGTCAGGAGAACCGTGAATTCAAGGCCGGTTCAGGCTGTATAGCAAGACCTATCTCAAACAAACAACAACAACAAAGAATATCATAAGAAAATATTTTACAGGTTGGCCAGATGGCTCAGTAGGTAAAGGCACTTGCCATCAAGGCTAACCATCTGAGTTTGATCACCTGACCTCATATGGAGGATTCAAAATTGTCTTCTGACTTCCACACATGCACCATGGGGCATGCACACACAGAGAAACATACACACAAAATAATAATAATAATAATAATAATAATAATAATAATAATAATAATAAACAGAATACTTTATATCACTCATAAAAATAAGAAACAAGGATCATCTGTCCTAGGTAGAAATCACCAGAAAAACACAGAGTAAAGCAAAGAATAGCATTGTTTTGTAGCTGGCTACAGTTCCTGGGTCTTCTTTGTTATAAAGGAAAGTTAGCTGGAGAGATGGCTCGGTGATTAAGAGTGCTTGCTGCTCTTCCAGAGGACCTGAGTTCAGTTCCCTGTGCCTACATCGAGTGGCTCACAACTGGCTGTAGCTCCCCTCCAGGGGATCCAGTGCCCTCTTCAGGACTCTGTGGCACCTGCACCCTGGTTACAGGACATCAAGAAATGGGTCTGATTTCTCTGATCCAGAAACTCTCTCCCTGCTGGCTGGCTCTCACAGTGCTGCAAGGTGCCATTCACTAAGTGGAGGAGAAAATGGTCTTCTCCGGGGTTGGGCCCTGCACTCCGCAGTACCGCACTGCCATGAAAGTTACACCCTCTGGGCATTAGTGGCACCATGGCTATGAGGGTAACCAATTGCTTTCTGATCGGATCTGAGACCGGCTCCACAGGAGGGATTTTCTGTTTGGTCCTGTAAACCTGGCAAAAGCCCATGGCTCGAGAGACCATAGACCCTGGAGGGAGACGTACTGGTGTTGATTCACTAAGTGGTTATGTGATCAAACTACTTTCTCAGTCTTTATGTATATACTCATAGATTTGTGATGCTCTCGACCTTGATTGGAGAAGCTCCTTTTTTCAGTGGGCAGTGGTTAACATAGAGACTCCTAACTGGTCAATATGCTGGGAAGAAGTGACTGTGGGTGTTCAGCCATAGATGGGTCACCTCTATCAACCAAGGGAGTCAACATTCCCGCACCGGTGGGAGAGGACTCCTGAGGACCCACCCCTAGCTGAGACGCTGTTGGCAGTTGACTGCTTCTGAAGGAGAGCTAGTCACTTTTCTTTGGAATGTGGCCACTGGTAGGCTGCCCATTCCCCAGCAGATGGTTCCATCATAACCACTTGCCCATGGTCAGCACTGCTGGACTCAGGGGCTATGAATAGTAACAATAACAAAAAAGAGGGTGGGTCCTGGGGGGAGTTGAAGGGAGGTAATGGGGTGGAAACAATCAATATATATTGTGTATGTCAGGTCCAAAGGAAACTCTGTTTCCTCAAATTCTAGTCATTAGACAAAAGGCAGCATTCCTCATGAACTTGTGAAGGGAAACCTCTACCCAAGGAGCCGTTCCTCTTCGAAGGGTGATCTGAGGTGCCTATTAACATACCAAATTGCATGCTGGCCTCCAGGCTCCCTCAGTATCTCAAGTACCTAGTTCTTCTCTCACACCCCTCCGTAGCTCACCGGCTTCCCTCCCCCAGCACTCATTTCTCCCTATAGCCCTGCTATTTTGGCTATGGCCTCTCCGTGTCCTCTCTTTGACCCTTTTTCTTGCACACACTCTTTTTCTCTTGGTCTCCGTCTCTCACCCCAACCCCGCCTGGCTTCTGCTTCTCTCCCAGCCAGGTCCAGTCTGCTGGCCATGTTCAGTCTACTCTGCTCTCTCTCTCTGCCCCGGACTCTTCCAGATGCCTCTGGCTGTTCTCTCCCTCATATCAACAATAAAACCCTTCCCCTCGACCACACCAGGGAGCCGTCATGTTGTCAGTTTATACAGTAAATATGTGTATGAAATTTTCAAAGTGGTTTTTTTTTTTTGTTAATTTTAATGAGCTGTGTGTGGTGGTGCACATCTCTGACCCCATCATTCCAGCTGCTGAGGCAGAAAGATCCTGAGTCCAAGGCCAGCCTGTGCAACTCCCTATCTCAAACAATTGAGGGTGGCTGGAGTGACGGCAGCTCACAGCCGTCCGTAATTCCAGTCCCAGGGGATCTGACGCCCCACTCTGGCCTCCATGGACATTGCATGCAGGTGGTGCACAGACATGGGTGCAGGCAAACGCCCCCACACACCAACTAAAAATAAAGAAAACCTTAATAAATGCTCTAACTGGACCAGGAGGATAGCTCGGTGGATCCAGCACTCGCCAGGCAAGCAAGTGCTCTTAAACCCTGAGCCATCTCTCCGGCCTAACCAATCTTTTTTTTTTTCAATCATGGGGGTGGGAGTAGGAGCCTCAGGTCAAAGTGTGGCCCAGACCTGACTCCGACTTGGTCCTTCAGCATCAGCGTGCAGCCTTGTTCTTGCACCTAGTAGCATCCTGTCTGAGCCTGTTTTAGACTCTCTCTCTCTCTCTCTCTCTCTCTCTCTCTCTCTCTCTCTCTCTCTCTCTCTCTCTCTCTCTCTCTTCTCTTTACTACCTCAGGCACTGAAACTTATCAGGTGGTGGTCAGAGCTGTAAAGAAAGCTGCCATTGAGGGGGACAACTGAGAAAACCTAGCTGGTATTCTCAGCATTCAGGGTAATCAAGGAGAGGTCTTTCAGATCAACCGGTAGACTGACATCTGCAGGAGGAAAACAAACCATCAGAGGGTATAGAACCTTCAAGCAGGACAGCATGCAGAGGCCCTGGGGCAGGAGCCTGGTGACTGCTTAAAGACCACTGCGGCCGGAGCAGGCAGGAAGTGGGAGAAGCCAGAGTCAGAGAGGGAGGAAGACTTGGGGACTTGAGGATTGTTGTGAGGACTTTGGTTTGGGGACAGCTGCTGCTTTGGGGAGCCCTCTGGAAAAGAAGGTCAGCTGACAGAGGCTGGCTGGAAGATAGCCTTGGGGCCGCACAGGTCCTT